GTGTGTGTGTGTGTGTGTGTGTGTGTGTGTGTGTGTGTGTGTGTGGGCGTGTGTTTGGAGCAGCAGATCCGATTATTTTATTTTATTTTCTAGATTTGTATAAAGATGTTTATTCATCAGATCTTTTGAGAGTGTTTTTCGTTATCTGTTGGGTTGATTTATCTGGTGTTTTTTTTTTTTTTTAAAATATCTGTTCTACTGTCCAGAGGTGCGATGAGAAACGACAAACTTACGAAAACGATCTCCCAAAACTAACCGCTGTTTTTGCTGCTCATCAGACGTGGTTTAGTGCCCCTCGTTGGGAAACGTCACTTCCTGTTGGACACGTTGCTCCCTGTTTGTCCCAGTTTAAATTCACTAATGAAAGATGACGTCATTTTCTCAGCCTCTTCATCTCATTCTTCCAAACTGGTCATCCTGAGCTGCTGTTTTAGGTTTGTGTGTCTCAACCATGTAAAATGTGTCAGTTTCATGAAGTTTACGGGCATTACAGCCGGCCTCGAGTTTCAAAACTACGATCACAGTCTGAAGGGCTTTAACATCCGTCTTGGTTTGTGGCCATTTGGCGTCTGTGGCGTTTCTCAAGTCACTTTCGACGCACCGGTTTATGGCGTCCTGAGTTGTCAGAGGTGGTTTTGCTGAGCTTACGGGTCAGCTGCCGTCCCACAGTTCTGACTCCCTGCRGGAAAAGCAGCACGTCTCATTTTCTCTCCTTTTTTTTATATTGACCAGTCGTGCTGTGCCATAAAACATCCGCCCTCCCCACCCTCAACGACACAGCTAACAACCCCACAGGGCTTCCTGCGGTCTTTCCGAGGTGTCCAGCGCCGCCTCCATGGCAAGCAGGAAAAAGGAGAGAGCAAAAAAAAAAAAAAAGTTTATTTTGCATGTCTGTTTCCCCCTGTTCCTCTTCCTCATTCCCCCTCTGCCCTCCTTAAAAAAATATTTTTTATTTTTATTTTTTGATCTGGAAATGTCCAATAGCTTTTATTTAATGTGGAAAAAAAACAGAAATAAATTATTTGATTTTTTTTTTAATGCTGTAAAACTGGGTTGTCTTGTCTGCTGTCTGGACTCATGCTGGATTTAAAAAAAACATGATCAGACGTCTAGAAGATCCATTTATTTGATTACAATTTTATTTAATTTTTATTTACAGGAAGAAACTAAGAACAACTGTTTTACATCACTCATATTAAAACAGTATTGTTGTGCAATACCAGACATTAAACATGTCAGAGGAAAACAAATATTAAAAAAAATTCTTTGACGCATTAGCTACAAGTAAAWAATCTGCACCTGTTGCTTCTCTTCTTTTTGGACCAACAAAAAARAAATTTAAACAACTTCTGTTTTTATAATCTGGTGATTATTTAAAATTTTAGTTGAATATAAGCACAAACAAAAAACAAATTCATKTAACAAATTAATAAATTTGTTCTCAATGTGCGTGAGGCTTTCCAGAATATAGAGATGTCAATTTAAAAATAGATTACCAAAAAATGTTTTTTTATCAACTAGTATTCTGTCAAGGTTAATGTGAAATATTTGAACTAATTTCACATTTAAACCAAACGCCAGGTTTTTGTGGAGTTTAATTTATATCAGATGAATTTAGTTTCTAGCTCAAACCTCTAAGTGTTGTAGTAAATATCTTACCTGGTGCATATCTCTTTGAACTGCCTGACTGAAGAAACAGGTTAAACTCTGACACAGTGGATGAGCTRGTGGCCTGTCGGAGTGGGGCCACACAAAATGAATTGCTGCCATCTTTAAACAACTAAAATATTTCATAGAGGTTCAGAGTAATTTAACCCTTTCTTTGTATTATCGTTATTTGCTAGCAGGTCTACAGCTTCTGGTGAGCTCGAGAAACTTCCTGCAGAAATTTCTGTTGGTGGTGGTGAAAAATTGATGGTAATGAAGGTTTATAAAAYAGTCACTTTACAGATAGTAGTTCAAGATGACACCAATTTATTTTAGTCCTGGTTCTGCTCTCTCATATTTAACACCCACTTCCCCCTGCATTCTTGTTTCCTACAGCGTGTGGTTCTTTAGTTCTTTATTCATGCAGGGGTAATTAAGTTGGAGCATGTTTAAACACGACAAACTTGTTAAAAGAGAGAAAACCTTTTAACAAACACTGATCTCAGCCCAGGCCTGTGAACACATTGTTACCCGTCCATGAGTGCAACTAAAAATTGGCAAACAAAAAAAAAGTCTAATAATCCAAAAAAGGTTTGTTTATTTTTTTGTGGGGGTCTACAGGTGCTGAAGTTAGTTACTTGTTCCAAAAGCAAGGTGGTTGTCTTCACAATAGAAGATCTTTGTTGGCGCGAGCCATTCGGCCAWTCACAATCCAGATAAACATTATCTTGATTGTGATTGGCCGAATGACTTGCAAGGAAGACAAAGGGAGTTTTTTTCACCATGTTTTTCACAGGCTTACCACAACAGTGGGGCTTAAGTAAGTTATCATAACAAATCTATGTTGGTTTCCCAGTTTTTAGAAACCATCAGAATTTTTCTGATGGCACAAATTAAGGTTACAGTGAACAACGGGAGCTTGAAAAACATTCTCACCTATGACAAACTTGTAAAATGGATTAACGCTGACAGATCAGTGTAGACGATGTTTCTAATTTTTACTGGTTTAGTTCATGACGGCAGAAACTCACAAGGACTCCACCTTTTTATTTTTTAATACTGGGAGGTGGGCGGCAGGTGTGACAAAATGGCACCCTGACTGGAAACGCCTTGTTAGACTTGTTCAACCTCTACCAGGTGCTGCTGTAACAACAAAATGTCTGTGATGTTAGTGTTTACTGTTTCAACTAGACTTAAAATCTTTAAAAATCATCATTCAGAATTAAATCCAAAGTGAGACCATTCAAAGACTTATCTACAACAGGTAGGATACTGTTTATAACCTTTCTATAAACCCCCACTGAAAAAGATTTGGACTATTGCTTTAAAATCTAATTAAAGCTAATTGTCTTAACCTGTTAAACTGTCATTTAAAAATGCATCGAAATGATTCATTTCTATCATGTGTTCCTAAACTGTATCCATACTGTCTGTTTTTTAGAAAATATTTAACTTTATAAAAATAAATAGTAGACAAGTTACATCCTTTGAGAAGGAAGATGAAAAACCTGAAACACCTGATCAAACATGAAGCAGTTTTTACAGCATTTTATCCAGCATGGGAAAAAAACAAACAAATTTCAGGAGCTCACTGACAGGGCCTGCACTGGTTTCTGTACACATCAAAAAAAAAAAAAAATTACTGCTGTTACCTTCAACCACTAAGCAGGGATTTTCACCCAACTATCTAATGTTAGCACGAAATAAAACTATTTACACAAATAMTACAATATTAAAACACACATGTATGTTTTAAATATAAATTTTTAATTTAGGCATTGTATTCCCCTCTGGTCTGAAATTAAGAAAATCTGTAAAAATGATACTGATTTACTGGAATTAGGTTATCTTCTTGACTTACCTAATGTTAAGGCCTTTCCCAGTAGTGTTATGAAACTGGATTGCTTTATTAATTTATGGCATGAGARTATCTTAGGTTCTAGAAGAGATTCAAGTCTTAAATTTGGCAGTGCCTGTGGAAAAACAAAAGGTTTTTATTGCTTTTTATCTGCCATTTCTTGTTCCCACCACTGACATTTGCGCATTTGTGTGTTAGCAGCCTCTTTCAGTCTGTTARTAAAATATCTCATAGCATTACCCAATAACTCATACAAGTTCATAAAATATTGCATGAAATCCTCATCTCATTAAGATGATCCTAGTTTAAAACTCATGAAAGGATGCAGGCCGAATGTATTCCCTGAAGGCACAACTGTCAAACTCAAGGCCCGTGGGCCAAATGTGTCCTGTGAGAGCTTCAAAGATGTGTTAATGTTGTCAAACAAGGATATGCTGATTTAAAGTCAGCGTTGACCATAAACTGCATCTCCCATAATGCATGTTGAAAATGACACATCCCACCACAGGTGGAGGTGCACAGGGTTCAACAGTAGCCGGTGAAATTTGTGTGTTAAATCTGTTTCACTGCGTTTTCACTGGCTTCTTTAGCTGCAACACAGATGTACTGGGAAGTGGGAATTTCCCACTTACAAATCGTAAATTTAAAGTAGAATGCCATATCCAGTGGGAATTCCCTGTGGGAAAGTAGGAGAGTTCAAAATTCATGATGGCAGCTAATCACCACAACTCAACAGTGAGTGAAACTCTCTTACTTTCACTTTTAATAGTATTTTTGTATTATTTCACATTTAGTCAGCCGTACACAGAGTACTTTTCAGTGTGTGTAAAATGATGTTAAAACACTGTTTCTATACAGGAAATACCACACAGCGCTCAGTTATTGTTTGTCAGCAGTGCTCAGTGGTAGCGAGTCGACCACAAAATGTTGACGTTAATTACAACCGGCCCTTTCAGGGCCACCATAACGCTCACGTAGCCCTCACTGAAAATGAGTTTGACACCCCTGCCTGAAGGAATGCTGGACCTTTAAATGTTATTTATCAACAAATATTAGGTGAAGAGGCAACATATTTTTTGCCTCTGGCTTCTGGTGCCGGAGGCATTCTGTTCTCTGTGTGTCAGTGTGGTGTCTGTCCATTACAGGTGGTCTTGTGTGCACAATATCTCCTGGATGAAATTATACATTTACTTATAATTAAGCATAGTAACTCCATTAAGGGTACTAGTGTCAAAGGTCATTTATGATGATTAATAAAACTGCCATTTTTTTTCAAAAGCAGACATGTCTAGGGCAGGCGGAGGCATACCAATCAATGCTTTGGCATTGAGTTCCACCTTGGTTAAAGGGATCCATGATTGGTTGTAACATTAGACTTTATTTGATCAACTTTTATTTTAACTGTAAAATAAAGGCTGTAAAAATACTGTAGGCTGTTTAGTTTTGTACATTGTTAAAAATATATTTTAACACGGACAGAGCCATTTTATTTACACGCAAAGCATTCTGGGTAAATGATGATGTGGGTCCTCAGTGTGAGTGAGCTATATCCACCCTGAAGGTTAATCTTGGACAATATCTGATGAATGACTCTTTTAAATGAAACCAGAATGTTGACAGAGAGGAGAAGGTAGAAATGACTCAGCCTTGAGGACAACAGAGCTGCTTCATGGAAGAAGAACCTCAGCTTAGCTTGTTAGTTTGTCGCGCTAGCGCCGACACTATATTGCCTTATATGTATTAGCTCGGCGCTAGCGCGACAAACAAGCTAAACTG